CGAGGGTCGGCATGGGGCGGCGCAGCGAGTATCGCGTCGATGGAACGCGCTCCGCGCGATTGCCAGCGCCGTCGCCACATCGTGTCTGAGCCACGCGTGGAACAGATCCACGCGGACGGGCGCTCCCGTCTGCGCGTCGATGACGAGGCCGGATGAAGGGGCCTCCCCGCCAGCGGCCCGCCGATCCGCCAGGCCGTGCCACTCCCGCCGCAGGAGGTCCGCCGCTGGGCTACCGGGGAGGGCCCAATCGAATGCGCCCCGAGCGCGCGGCGCCCCCGGTTAGCCGCAGGAACGCGGGGGCCAGAACGCGCGCTTGCAGCGCTCGAGTGGGCGCGACCGCAGGAGGAGCTGGCATCGCGCGCACCCGAACACCATCGCGATCGCCGCGGCGTCGTCAAAGCGCATCCTTCCGTGGCCTTCGTGCGTTGCCGCCGGCGGTCCTCCGCCCAGAACAGCGGTCCGGCTCCAGGGCTGCCGCTTGCTCCGACGGCGGAAGCCCCTCGCCCGTCTCTGGATCTTCTGCCGGCGGGGGCGCTTCCAGGCGAAAGGGCGCGCTCGCGCGGTCGCGGGGCCAGCGCAGCCCGCCCCGGACCGCGCGCGGGCCGATGTTCGCGCGCTTCGGTGGCCGAGCACGAACCCGTCCGCAGTCAGGGGGCAGGCGGCCGCGTCGCAGGTGTCCAGCGCTCGCGCCTCTGCCCGCGCGCGCCAGCTGCCCCGCGCCCGCGGCGCGCCGCGCAGGCGCGCCGTCTCGACATGCGAAAGGCGGCGCGCTATCGGCCCGTCTGCGCTGGCGGCGAGCCAGCATAGCTGGCGGCCCCTGGACCTCGACGGGGGGTTTTGCGAGCGGTCAGAGCCTCCAAGACGGCCCAAAACGGCTCCAAGAGGGCCTCGGATACCCCAAGCTGACCTCCAAGATGGCTGAAGATGGCCCAAGATGCGTAGATCTGGCTACAGCGGTGCTCCAAGAAACCCCAATCACGCTCCAAGACGGTTCCAAAAGGCCTCCGAGACTTCCAACGAGGCCCCCACGAGGCCCAAATCTTTCCACAACCTGGGGGACCCCCCTGATTTTGCCTTCCCGCCTTTTCGCTCCCGATAGCCTTCCGAGGCCTCAAGGTGGCTCCAGGATGGCCCAAGAGAGCTCCAAGAGATGCCCAATATAGCTCCAAGACGGCCCCACGAGCACCCAAGAGCGCTCCAAGAGCGGCCCAAGAGGGGTCCAGGAGGCGATGTGTGGGGCTTCCGAAGGGGGGCGCTACTTGGAGCTCCCCTCTTGTTTGATCGACGTCCTCCAAGATGGCCCCAAGAGGCGCCCAGGAGGCCCCAAAATGGCTCCAAGATGGCCCCAAGATGGCCCCTGAGACCTAAGAGGCCCCAGAGGACTCCCATGTTTCCTCCGCAAAGGCATCGCGTGCTTTTTTTGATGCTCTCCCGTTTTGGCTGGGCCCGTCGATGTTGCCACCTTATGCGTACGGGTTGGGTGCGTTACTGGGTATATGTCGGTGGATTGCCGCATCCTCATGTTGGTGCGAGTCGACACTTCTACCTCCGCGGCCGAACTGTCACTCTGGCTGCCCCGAAACGGAGGGCGTATCGCCCCGGGGTGAGCTGCAGCAACGGCACCTCCCGCGCGGACGCTTGCGACGGTCACACATGTATGCATGGCCAGTTCCGGAAACCGTACATGCCAATACATTGGCATCTCTCGTGGGGCGCATCCTTTACTTTCGCCTTTCCACCGGCAGAACCGCGGCTTTTCTGGAAGAGATGCTAACGCGTTCGATCCCGTTAAAGCGAGGCCTATCCTGGAACATCTCACATACACATATGTAAGTACACACCGAGACGGAATAGCTATTGTCCATTGATGCAATGGGCGCGGAGATCGAAACTTGGCTTCTGGGTTGGTCTCAGATTCGCGCCGACTCGCACGTGTGCGCGGTAATAAAGCAGTGCGTAGGTGAAGGCACATTGATAGAATGCGGCATGTGTTTGGAAGAAGCCAAGGACGTGAAATTGCACCACAAAAATCAAAGCGATGAGGCTGTATACCAACACAGGAGAACGCACTCGTGACATGTCCGCGCTGGCGATAAAGTGTGGCCTTGCGAATTCCGCACCACGTGTCGGAAAACTTTGACAACAACTGTGCCCCTGCTCATCGGCATTATCGGTCCACCGGCAAACCGTACAAGCCCACGGCCAAATTACGTCGTCATTGCAAACATCTGATGCTGAAGAGCCAGGGCGCTATGAACAGCAGGAAAGTCAGCCGCTCGTAATGATCAAATGTGAATTGAACGGTCCTTCGGTATCATCAAACTAATACGTGTGCCAGTCGCAACAGCAAACTGTTGGAGCAACATCAGCCGCATCCTCCAAACACTTCCTGTCTCACCCGCCTGCTTGCTGCTATTTCCCTGAGTCATCCCGTAACTCCCTATCTTCTCATGTGCGGGGGCAGCACCTGTTTCAGCTCCTCGAGGCGAGTCTCCAGCGCCTGGCGAAAGGACGCCCCATGACGCGCCTCTATTTTGTGTTCGCTGTCACCAGAGCAAATGTTAACTTCTCCCTGCCATCTGCATGGAATGTAGATGTGGCCAGAACGCGTATATAAGGACGGGGGGAGACTGGGAAGGAGGAAGAGCAGGAGAAATAAAAAGAGACCATGATGGAAAATGGAGAGACGAGGAATCATGCGGATGCAGCAGGGCGGGAGGGAGGGATGGACGAATGGGGATGGGAGGAGGAGGAGGACGACGAGGGGGGCACGAACAGGGAGGGCCGCGGGAGGATGTAGGGGAAGGCTGCAGGAGGGAGGATAAGGGGAATGAATACATGCAGGGCAACACGAAAACGTGTGTGGGAGGTGGATGGTGGTGATGATGAAGGAGCACCATGAGGATGAGGAGGAGCAGCACAACAAAGAGAGAGAAAGAGAGAGATAGAGAGAGAGAGAGAGAGAGAGAAAGAGAAACATATATAGTGAGATCCGAAAGAGCGTGTTCTAATTACCGCTGCTTGCGGGAAACTGGGGGGGTGACTACCGGTTCGAACACCTCCCCCCCCCCCTCCAGAAAACCAGGGGGGGTGACTACCGGTTCGAACCCCTCCCCCCCCTCAGTCCATCATGAAAAGGGGGGGGGGGGTCACTACCGGTTCGACCCCCCCCCCTCGAAAACCGAGGGGGGGTGCGGACAGTGGTGGGGACGGTGGTGAGGGGACAGTGGTGAGGGGACAGCGGGACAGTGGTGGGGACAGTGGAACAGTGGTGGGGACGGTAGTGGTGGGGACAGTGGTGAGGACAACGGTGGGAACAGTGGGGACAATGGACAGTGGTGGGGACGGTGGTGGTGGGGACAGTGGTGTGGGGACAGTGGGAATGTGCTGGAAACAGTGGGACGGTGGAGGGTACAGTGGTGGTGGGGACAGTGGTGAAGGCGGTGGCGAGGACGGCGGTGGGACAATGGGACAGAGGTACAGTGAGGACAGTGGTGGGGACAGTGGCGGGAACAGTGGGACAGCTCAGTGGGACAGCGGAGGAGTCAGTGGGACAGTGGGGACAGTGGGGATAGTCGGGCAGTGGATGGGGCCGTGGAGAAAGTGGGGAGAGTGGAACCGTGGTGGGAACAGTGGTGGGGACAGTGGGGACAGTGCGACAGTGGTGGGGGCACTGGTGGGGACGGTAGGGACGGTGGTGGAACCAGTGGGGACAGTGGTGGTGAGGACAGTGGTGCTGGGAACAACAGTGGGGGATGTGGTGCGGACGGTGGTAGGGACCGGGAGTCGTTTGCTGGCGGTGAGGGGGTGGGGGGGAGGGGTTCGAACCGGTAGTGACCCCCCCTCCGGTTTTCGCGGGGGAGGGGGGGGGGGGGGGAATTTTCAACAGTAAAGCGGCGGTGGGGGGGCTCTCTTTGAGATCCGCCACCATGCCTCCGGCGCGAAGTGGAGTGCCCTAAGGCTCATGCAGCCCTGATCGGTTGAGAATCTGTAAATTTCTTACGGGCCTGGACCCTCAATGTCGCACTCTTGGGCGGTACCAAGCGCTGCTGGGGTTTCTCGCGAGGGCCTTCCCATCGCGGGCGGTCCAGTGCCCAGCATCCCGGACGGTCGCTCCAAACGCCCACGATTCCTCGCCCGCTCCAAACGCCCAAAGGCAGCCGAAAAGTCCTCCAAGAGGGCCCCGTAACAGCCCAACAGGGCCCCAAGACGGCTCAAGAGGCCTCCAAGACGGCCCACGAGGTCCCCAAGACGGCTCCAATGAGGGGGCCCCGAAGGAGGACCCGACTGGAAATTTCGAGCCCTCGGCCCCGAGAGGCCCCCATGAGGCTCCAAGAGGCCCCAAGAAGTCTCCAAGAGGCTCCCAGGAACCCCCAAGAGGCGGATAAAATGCTCCTAGGAGGTCATCTAGAGGCTCCCAAGAGGCCCCGAAACTGCCGCCCCAAGGCCCCCGAGAGCGCTCCGAAGAGACCCCAGGGAGAATCCCTGAGGACTCTGACCCACAAACCAAGCACGGTGGACGAAAACCAATTCACCTGGGGCTGGCACGGAAACGGAAAGAGCGCCTCAGGAACTTGCCCGAGAGGGCTCGCGGCACCCTTCGCTCTTGGGAGCCTTGGTGGTAAGAGCTTGTTACGTCACCGCTCGCTCTTGGAAGCCTTGGTGTGCCGAGACTTTTACGTTGCCGCTCGCTCTGGGGAACCTTGGTGTTGAGAGTTGTTTACGTCACCGTGCGCTCTTGGGAGTCTTGGTGGGAACGAGTTTGTCACGTCACCGTTCGCTCTTGGGAACCTTGGTGGGAAGAGCTTGTTACGTCACCACTCTCTGTTGGGAGCCCTGGTGCTCAGAGATGCTTACGTTGCCGCTCGCTCTTGGGAGCCTTGGTGTGACGCGCTTGTTACGTCTCCATCTCCTCCTCCTCCTCCTGCCTCCTCCTTCTCCTCCTCCTCCTCCTCCTCCTCCTCGTCCTCCTCCTCCTCCTCCTTCTCCGCCTCCGCCTCCTCCTCCTCTTTCTCCTCTTTCTCCTCCTCCTCCTCTTTCTCCTCCTCCTCCTTCTCCTCCTCCTCCTCCTCCTCCTCCTCCTCCTCCCTTGGCCTCGTCCTCCTTCCTCCTCCTCCTCCTCCTCCTCCTCCTCCCTTGGCCTCGTCCTTGTTCCTCCTCCTCCTCCTCCTCTTCGTCCTCCTCCTCCCCCTTCCTCTTCGTCCTCTCTCATCCTCCTCCTTCTACCTCCCATCCTCCTCCTCCTCCCTCCTCCCCCCCCTCCTCCTCTCCTCCTCCTCCTCCTCCTCCTCCTCCTCCTCCTCCTCCTCCTCCTCCTCCTCCTCCTCCTCCGCTCCTCCTCCTCCTCCTCCTCCTCCTCCTCCTCCTCCTCCTCCTCCTCCTCCTCCTCTCCTCCTCCTCCTCCTCCCTCCTCCTCCTCCTCCTCCTCCTCCTCCCCCCCTCCTCCTGGGGCCCGCTTGGGAGCCTCTTGGGGCCCTCTTGGGGTTCTCTTAGGGCCGTCTGGGGGCCCCCCTGCTGTATTTGGGCCCTCGTGGGCCGTCTGGGGGCCCTCTTGGGCCGTTTTCGGCCCTTTTGGGGCGCCTCTGGGGCCGTCTTGGGACATCTTTGGGGCCTTTTGGGCCGTCTTGGGCCCGTCTGGGGGGTCTCTTGGACCGTTGTGGGCTCCTTTGGGGCGCCCCTGGGGCCGTCTTGAGACGATCTTTGGGGCCTCTTGGGCCGTCTGGGGCCCTTCTGGAACGGAAAAAAGGAAAGCCCGAAAAACCTCAACCTCCAAAAACTCTTGAGAAAACAATATTTTTGGCCTCCTGATGCCCTCTCTGGGGGCCCTCTTGAAGGCCTCTGGAGCCGTCTCGAGACTCTCTTGGACCGTCTAGCGGCCATCTGAAGCTCTCTTGGGGCCGTCTTGGGGCCCTCTTGGTGCCCTCTGGCCGGTTCACCAGAAAAATCCAAAGAAATGGGCCATGGGAGCCGCCCGGGAGCCGCTTCACTCGAAAAAATACGAAAGAAACTGGCCATTACCAACCCAACACTCCCGCCTCAACCCCCCTCTGCACTCCCCCTAAGGAGGGCTTCGCCCCTGCTCAACGTCACTCGCTCGTACCTCGCTCTTTCCGTCACCTGGGCCGGCACGGAAAACGGAAAGAACGTCTCAAGAACTTGCCCGAGAAGGCTCACGGCACCCTTCGCTCTTGGGAGCCTTGGTGGTAAGAGCTTCACCGCTCGCTCTTGGGAGCCTTGGTGTGCCGAGACCTTTTACGTTGCCGCTCGCTCTTGGGAACCTTGGTGTTGAGAGTTGTTTACGTCACCGTGCGCTCTTGGGAGTCTTGGTGTGCACGAGTTTGTCACGTCACCGTTCGCTCTTGAGAGCCTTGATAGGAATAGCTTTTTACGTCACCACTCTCTGTTGGACGCCCTGGTGTTCAGAGATATTTACGTTGCCGCTCGCTCTTGGGAGCCTTGGCGTGACGAGCTTGTTACGTTTCCTCCTCCTCCTCCTCCTCCTCCTCCTGACTCCTCCTCTTCCTCCTCCTCCTTCTCCTCCTCCTCCTGCTGCTCCCTCCTCCTCCTCCTCCTGCTGCTCCTCCTCCTCCGCCTCCTCCTCCTCCTCCTCTTTCTCCTCCTCCTCCTTCTCCTCCTCCTCCTCCCTTGGCCTGGTCCTCGTTCCTCCTCCTTCTCCTCCTCCTCCTCCTCCCTTGGCCTCCTCTTCCTCCTCCTCCTCCTTCTCCTCCCTCTCCTCCTCATCCTCCTCGTCTTCCTCTTCCTCCTTCTCCTCTTCCTCCTCCTCCTCCTCCTCCTCCTCTTCCTCTTCCTCTTTCTCGTCCTCCTCCTCCTCCTCCTCCCTTGGCCTCGTCCTCATTCCTCGTTCCTCGTTCCTCGTTCCTCGTTCCTCCTCCTCCTCCTCCTCCCCCCCCTCCTCCTGGGGCCCGCTTGGGAGCCTCTTGGGGCCCTCTTAGGATTGTCTTAGCGCCGTCTGGGGGCCCTGTTGGCCGTATTGAGGCCCTCTTGGGCCGTCTGTGGGCCATCTTGGAACGTTTTGGCTCCTTTGGGGCGCCCCTGGGGCCGTCTCTGGACGATCTTGGGGGCCTCTTGGGCCGTCTGGGGCCCTTCTGGGACGGAAAATTGGAAAACCCGAAAAACCTCCCAAAACCACAGAGAAAACAATGTTCACCCGAACAACCACGAAGAAACGGGCCATGTTAGCCGCCCGGGAGCCGCTTCATTCGATAAATAACCAGGCGCGAGCGGCCATTCGACCATTGTGCGCCCGCCTCGCCCCTCCCCTGGACCCCTCACTAGAGGGCTTCGCCCCAACTCAACGTACATCACTCGTACCTCGCTCTTTCCGTCACCTGGGCCGGCACGGGAACGGAAAGATCGGACCAGGAACTTGCCCTGAAGGCTCATGCCACTCTTCGCTCTGGGGAGCCTTGGCGTTAACAGCTTGTCGCGTCACCGCTCTCTGTTGGGAGCCCTGTTTTTCAGAGACTTTTATGTTGCCGC